CACATTAAAACTGATGATGGTGGAAAACACCGAAACGTTTTTTTAAATTGATAAATGAACAATAAATGACTGAAGAACCCAGGATTTGATTTTAACTTTCGTCTAATGTTCATAATTTTTTTGGTGCACTTTCAGAACTCAAACATCTCAGTATCTCATGAGTACGACCAGGCAGAATTAAATAGAGTCTTCGATGTCCATGACTCAAAGGCAGAAGCTTGGAACTTGGAGTCTAAGGATGATTGTGAAGACATGCGATATTATGTAAATATGTATGAGATTGTAGATTGTAAAATATGCAAATAAATAGATATGGAAGAGCTCGACATTGACTGAAATTGACTGTTATTTAGCTCAGTGAGGTGCACCTCTTGAGCAATTTCCCTGAATAGACGTTCTCGTAAATATGAAACTTTCGGTAATAAACAACTGGGAGTTTAGTAATTTATTTCAGTATGCGCAGAATTCCCTGACAGCGAAACACTAACTACACATAACTTACGATTAATATATCCTAGCTTAACAATGGACCGCGTTTTCTTATTATATTCAATACGCGGACTGAGTTAATTTAAACCAAGCGGTAGAGTGAGTTATGGGCGTTTTGCTGTTATCATGGACTGCTTAGTATCCATTTTATTTCTTTTTCGTGTTTAATCATAAAACCGTATTTTTCTCGGTAAAAGACATGACGGCGTTCAACTCGAACTTGCTACAATGTATTTGCGTTAAATATGGAGCTTTATTTTAACCACTTGCTGCTTTGCGTAGACTTATTTACTTTAATTTCTGTTTGGTTCTATCAGAATATTTCAGCGTTTTTTTCTAAGCACTTTGTTTATTAAAGTTCTTAGAATAACAAAACAAAATTTCATCAAAATGGTATGCCTCACAAAAGATATTTCAAATCAAGTCCTTGTTCAATTGATGCAAAAAATAATAAAACACTGAAACGCGCAACAATTTGGAATTGCAAACGCGGGTTTCAGATAACGGAAGTTTCAGAAAGCGCAAAAGCCAGGTTTGACCCAAGAAATTTTGGTTTCCGTAACCCTCCACACTTTTTACCTCAGAGTGATTCCAATTTAGAGACTTTAAAATTTCAAAAAACGCAAAAAGGCGGATACTTGGAGCTTTTGCCCTCAGCTTTCAGATCCCCGAAATTTGGCAAGACGCCGGAAATACGGACGGATTTAACCGAAGAAGTTGATGAAGTTGATGATGGGTCGATTTGGAAATTTCAGAAACAAAGATTTTGGAAATGCGATGCCTCATAAACATTTGCAACGGGAGTGGAATAAGCTGCAAATGCAAACGTCTAATGGATTTAAATCCGGTGATAAGGCAGGCCCTACCTATCAAATGATTTCAATATTCGGTGTCTAAGTGATTATGTACATTAATGATGGGCTGGCGCACCATCATGCATGTACCATAAGTGTTGTCTCAGCTGTACAGGAATGTCTTCAAGAAGAAAAGCTAACTCTTCCCGAAAGAAATTAATGCAAGATTCGTCTGTTAGTTGTTGTGGAAGGAAATAAGCATTAGATTTATGGTAAACTGATGCTAAGAATGAGCTTCAAAGATTCCATGTGGATTTCCTCAGCCCATAAGTGATTGTCATTATTTTTTTGCAGAACCAGCTCCTGACACTTTTAACCCTTAGTAAACTTTGATCCTTAAAAATATACTAAAATAAAATTGAACCTACACCAAAACTACAACTTAATGTGACCGTCTGAAAAGAACCCCTTAACTGCGTGACACTAAACATAAATGTTCTTTTAATAGATTTGAAGCGCCCATTCTTCCCTTTGTAGTTCTGTTCTTCTGGAAGATTAATAGAGCATTCGTACTCATCAACAGACAGGTTTACAGACATTACCGATGAAAATTTATGGCTAGGTCGCTACTGGAAGCGATCTAACAGCCAGATACCCATTCTTAGAAGGGTATTCTTAGGAAATTCGACTACTAAGTTCTTTCAAAGCTCACATGATTCAGTATTTGCTTGTCCACTTCCGACAATGACCTGAAGATATTTTATTGTTTCGGAAATGCCATCTTTTGGGTTCCAACTAACTGCTGTGAAATTCGGAATTTCAAGGCTAGTGAACAACAATCGATACATGGGTGTTGTTTCGCAAAATAATGTTCAGTTCCAGTTCAGTTTGTGCGAGATTCAATATGGTCTGAGTTAAAGAGACCACAAGCGACCTTCCTTTCAAAGGATTGTGAATGTACAGTTTTTAAACGTTTGCTGCTTGAAAAACGAGGGCTGTAAATACGGGATCAATGATATTATCAAAAGTCGAACGAAAATATATAGAAATATATCAAAAGACTTACTTACTTAAGATAATTCTACTTTCAATCTGTAATTGTTTGGTTGTGGCTTTTGCAGAAGCGGATAGTTGCGATTGCTTTGCGCAGCCACCATCTCTGAAGATGAAAGCCATTCGTGTCTGCGAAACGTTAGAAAGATAGTATTTGCGCTCACGCCTCACTGCCCAACAAAATCTACGTTTCATTGACCAATTTTGATTAACTTGGGGTCTGGATAAATTCTGACTGCTTCGGCGAATCAATTTCTGTTTGAAGCGTCATTTAGTGCCATTCTTCTTCCGTGCGTCAGAAAAAGTTTATTTTAAAGTCACAAGTATTGAAACAGACCTCATTTCTAAGAAAACGTTTTTGAATTTTTGGCTCTTCTCGATTATTTACAGAGTGGCTTTAACAAGTCAACTTTTTGGTCTTGCAGTGATGATTTTTTGTCTCTTAAACCTCTTTTTTAAATCTAGGCTTTATGTTGCAGCTAAAATTGAGAAAAATTCAATATACCGGGTTCATGAATGAACAAAATATTTGAAAGTAAACTTCACTTAGTTGAAAATCTGCCAGAATTGCCGATTTCGGGGGTAATTCTAATTTGGGTAATTTGTTGTGCAGCTCTGTACATCAAATTTTCGGATTAGAGAAGAGCGAGAAAGAAGAAGAGCAGAAAAGTTATCGCTGCGAAACCAAAAAGTTATTTTTTTGAGGCTACCCTGTAAATAGAACAAATGGCCAAAAAATTMAAAAACTGTTTYGAGCTATTTTGGTYTATATTCAAAATTTTGGCGTTGGATCCAAAAAAACSTTGTTTTTGTCCAACCAAGAGCATGCCGAACTTAGCAAAATTTTGAATTTTTTCATTTGCCGCCCTGTAGAAAATTTCCCTAAGGTGCTGAATTTTCACCAAAACTGYGATTAACAAAAAACMAATGGGGYTCAACAACRCTTTAAACAACCAATCAGAATTYCTCCACTTCCAAATGCTGAATTTTTCGRGATTTTAGRCAATCGTTGAATAAAATTTCCTTCYAACGCTTCSCAAGCACGAGAAAATCAGTTCTGAAGACGCAAGACACTCGTGCTTGCGACACAACAGCGAGCCTAAWCAKCAKWMAAATTCTTCAAGTTTGTTGCAAATTTCCATTTTATTTTATCTACGCTTGTAAATATTTCTTGCTCATGTTTGATGTTTTTCATGTGCGAGCTTATTTTATTATTGCATCGGATTGATTTATATCGGTTTTATGATCGACCAAGAATGATTTCGGTCTCGAAAAAGTAAAGTAAGATCGACCGGAAAATTCGACTTTCTGTTTAAAGCACGCACTTTTATGGATGGTGCCCTAGAAAAAAGTCGTCGATGGAAAATTCAGCTGGCATTTTAAAGCAAATAATTCAGTTGACTTCTCAATAAATTTATGAACTTGTTTTAGAGGCCCAAATGTTCATTCTCAGCTTTAAACCAACGAGCTAAACGGGTTAAAATAATGTAAACACTTTAACCAACCGCAGTAAATAAAGAAAACAAGCTACTAATCGCTCTTTGGCCGCACATTATTCAAATGCATTCATTGAAATGTAAAAGGCTTGTTCATTCACCAACCTAATTGGCAGAGAAAACGGATTCCTCGGATCATCTTCGGCATGTGGTCACACATTTACGTGCTTTTCACAGTCATTACGATCGAAAAGCCAGAACTAAGTCCATTATTTCCAGGAACGAAACTATGACGAAACAACCCTTAAGAGATTCGAGCATAAGTATGCGTACCGCGATTTTGACCACTGTTGTATATGTAACTGCATCCTTGTTGCAACGGAAAAAGTGAATATCGACGCCCTATTTAGGAGCCGCTTACAACCCCTGCTTTGTATGGTAGCGGCATGGTGTTGGAAGGTTTCAGGAACAAATGAGGCACACAGAAGAGGACGGAGTTAGCGTCGTTTCAGATGAGAAACAAGGATGTCCATGTGTTTGTCGCTCAGCTGCTCCACGCTTCACGCTAATTTCGATTGAAATTTACGTTTCTTTAGAAACGTGATTAGTATGGACGTCATAAGGCCACCCGGTTCGCCGACTTGCTATGAAATATTCCGGTATTTCAATAAATCATTGATAGGTGGCTTTAAACTGAGCCCTATACGTTCATTATTTGCTGAAAAGCACAAAAAGTGCAAGGGACTTAAGAAGAGCAGAAAATAATTCAATGAAAAGGGACATTAGAAAGTGAACTGAGTAAGAGACTCTGAGAACTACTGGCTAAGGTCTAAAATACAGTTGGATGGTATGTGTGGCAGACAATACCATACAAACCATTACAGGCGAACAATAGGATTTGTAGGTACTTCGTGTATTGCTGTGGGTTCCAAATTCTTCGTTGTTTAGGTCAAGCAGCTTCTGCGAAATTTTTACTGGTCCACTTTCTTTTTTCTCAAATAAATCAAGTTTCACTACAAATGAACAGTTATAAACCCTAAAGAAAAGTGAGTCAATATTTAATAGAAAGGGCAAATAATCGTTGATTTTTTGGTTTATTAGGCTTTTGCCAATAAGAATTGCTCTTTTAGTACTTCCAGGGCTCATTTGCGTGCAAAACGAATTATTTATTCCCGATATTTCAAGTCGTGAACATGTCAAGTGGGAACATAGCAGTTGGCTATTCATCTTGCATCTCTCCTAGGATCCTATATGTGCGAGTGCGACAACCGATGTTGGTTCTAACTACCTACGTTCCCGAATGGARAACTTGAATGAAAATGAAATKAAAATGAATGAAAGTGTGAACATGAGAAGTTAATAAGYCTTTGAARATTGTAGCAAAACGTSAATTTTWTGTCAATTGTTAAATTCCAATTAGCCATGGAACTTAATTATTACCAGACTTAGATTATTACCAGACCCAAAACTTCTGAGCCTTTCTTTGGTCGCTATTAAACACAATAAACTAATTGATCTGAAATTTTTGTTTTCAAGTTTAAGATGTTGAATCTGAAAATGGCTCTTCTGGGTTTAGGACCA